AAGGTTTTGTTTAGATTCGAGTTTAGCCAAACTCTACGTCTTATTTCGGCACTCTTACTGGATACCAGTCCTTGAGCAAAAATTAAACACTTGAATTCTTCAACCGTAATTTCTGCCAATCTGAAATTGTCACAATGTCTATTCACTATAGATGCATAAGTTAAGTAATCCTGATCATCGGATTTAGCGACATTCATGCATAACCATCGCTTATGCCAAAGCGACATATTTGCTCCAAACAACTCCTTTAGCAATTTCACTGTTTCCGAGAATTCCAATTCATTTGTTCTTCTCGGTAGAATAAAATCTACAAATTTGCTATGTTCTGCTGTACCTAGCTTTCTTAGTAATAGACTGACTTTTCTTGAATTCGACCAGTTTTCACAGTCTGTGTAGAAAATATCTTCATATCGTTTAAAGTACACTTCAAACGTTTTTTCTTCGTCTGGCCCATAGTTGAAAGTTTCCAGCGAATTAAATATGATGTTATTAGAATATGAAGAATTTCCTTCATTTGCCTGATTGTTGTTTAATTTCTCAGTGTTAACTTTTGAATTTCTAAAACCTTGATCTGCATTTCTTCCTGTTTTCCCAGTCTTTCCTCTTGCTTTTCTCGATATTTTTGCTGTCTTTCCTCTTGCTTTTCTTGATATTTTTACTGTGCTATCTGTTGTTCCCTTATTAATAAGGCAAATTGTTCACTTTGACGTTGCTGACTCAACTGCTGGGATTTGAATAATTCAGATATGACTTTGGATAATTCATCCATCTTTTGCTGATAGTGTTCATGCAACAAAGAATATACTTTTAATTTGTTTATCTACGGATATAATATAATCTGACCAGAAAAATCGAAACAACTTACGACTTTTTTATTTTATGTCTTCCTTTACAAAATATTGTTGAGCAACCAAAAAAAAAAATTTTTTTTTTACAAGTTTACCTTTCAAAGTCGACACGATGTATTTGTGCGCCTTTTAAATCCATGCATGTTTTTGTAGTCGGCCCGTTTTTTTTTAAATCACCGTTATTCGTTTACGACACCCTTCAAATTTTTCTGAGTGAACGTTCCTTTATGCTTAGTCGTCCTTTAACGAGTTCTAATTATCCAGAAATTCAGAATCCTTCGCCGTTCCATTAGATGTTGGACTTTTAATTAATAATTTTTTCCTTCAGCCTGGTTTCTTCAATGACTTGTCCCAATTGTTGAAGGCTATCAATTATCAATTCTTTTTTTTTTTCGTATAGTTCTTTCTACCTCGTCCCCATTGTTGAAACTTGACTAATGCATGGAATAATAATGCAACACAAAATGTACTTAGAACAAAATGTATTGAAACAAGAAAGTGTACACAATATTTACATATAGGCTTTTGTATATTACTGGTAAGACCGTTCCTGGAGAATATGTTGACTGAGTCGCAGTCGGGCAGAGTCTCTGGTTGAATCTCTTGATTCCTCCCTTTCTTCCCGGTACCAACCATATTTATATGGTCGGTACTCCACTATGCAAATTAGGTGGATCCTACCACAACAGTATCTTAAAAATGATTAAAGATATCTTACTGGAATTCACCGAGGTTTTTATAACACTGTTATGTATAATTACTTTCCAAGCTTAACCGAAGAATCGTGATGATATCGGTCATAATCGAAAATGACATGTTCATTATTAATTAATCATAGCTAGGAATCAGAAGCACATGAAGGTTTGAAATAAAGTTCGAATATATATATATATATATATATATATATATATATATATATATATATATAAGCAAATATATGGATATAGATCCGACAATTATGCTGTTTTAATGTTAATATAATGTCAACGTCGGACGTTTCGGTCTAGTAGACCATCTTCAGGACATATTCATAAAACATAATTAACATTAGACTATATTTAATTCAACATGAAAAGACGATGGACATAATGTAAGACTAATCAAAACAGACAGATGGTCTACTAGACCGAAAAATATTTAACGTTGACATTATATTAACATTAAAACAGTATAATTTCGTATATTAGATTTTTTGTTTTTTTTTTTTATTTTATTTTTTTCTTCATATATATATATATATATATATATATATATATATATATATATATATATATATATATATTCTAGGATCATTTCTCAATTTACTCAACTCTAACTCTCTAACTTTCTGTCTTGGAGTAATAAGGAGTTTCATAGGTTTCACGTATGATTTCATTTTTAAGTCTTTTTTTCACTGCTCTTTGGACTGTCTTGGCTGAAACTCCTCTCTCACGTGCCAAAGGTCTTATAAATGGAATTGGAGCTTTTCTAATTGATCTATTTTGCTCTAAGTTAAAATGGTGATCCGACTTCCTGTCGTAACCTCCTGATCCATTTTTCCTTTCTACTGTTCCCTCTTTTTTCCCTTTTTTTGTCTATAGATGGTTCTTGAATGGAGTTTGAAAATGGAAGTCAGAGTATGAATGTTGGTACCATTACTGAAGGTCAGAATGATCTTTTTCCTCTCACCATTGCTCATTTGGGAAGACAGCGTGGCTGACAGAAAACGATTTTAACCTGTTCTTTTTCTAGCTGAATAACTCAAAGGGTTTTTCAGGGATTTTTACGATAAATGGTGTCAATATAGCTAAACGTCTTATCTGAAAATCTGGAAAAAAGAAACCCAATTCGTTTAGTCGGTTTTAGATATTAAACAGTTTGTGGGATTGATAATTATGCTGTTACACGATTTGGACAATTTTGATTTTACACCTGGTATATATATATATATATATATATATATATATATATATATATATATACATGAATTGACAGATATGGGCGGAAATTAAAAAAGCACTGAGAAAGTTATTAACTGAAATGAATACATGCTTGAATTATATATATATATATATATATATATATATATATATATATATATATATAAGGAGAAAAGAAAGCCACAAACGTTTTTGGCTATAATGTGTATTTTTATATATTATACTTTATTTTTTTGCTACACGTATTCGGGTCTTGTGATCTTCATCAAGCGAAGAATGGTTATTTCCACATATTATTTAAAGGAATTATTTTTCTTATATTTTCTTATCTTTAATTGTTGTCTTTTGCGTGTGTATATATATATATATATATATATATATATATATATATATATATATATATATATATGTATATATATATATATATACAAATTGACAGATATAAGCGGAAATTAAAGCACTGAAATAGATATAAACAAGCTGAAATGAATACATGCTTGAATTATATATATCTATATCTATCTATCTATCTATCTATCTATCTATCTATATATATATATATATATGAACCCAACAAGGAATAAATAAATCATTTAAATTCCCAGATGACACAAATCTCCTTGCTTTAAAAGTCAGAAGTTATTTGTCATCAACTGTCGTGGTACAAAAAAAGCAACAATAAGCCGAAAAACTAGGCAAAATTTTATAAAACATATTAGATAGTTTGTCAGATGATAAAATGTCACTTGGGTCTTTATTGAGTCCCTTATCCTTTGCCCTAAATCTTTGGTATTCGCCGCCGTCGATCCTTTGTCAATTCATGTCAAAAATATGTGCACAAGGAAGCAGATTCGTATAATTTGGAATGTGTTGAGGCGAGCATTTTGCTTTCATTTCTTAAAATTAGTTAAGTCTGGCACAAGGCAACAAAATGACAGCAATTTATAAACTTTTAACCCTCTAAGTAGTCATCACATTTGATATTGCGTAAATTTGTCTATCAGACGAGTACCGTTGCTTTTCGTTAGGCCTGACCATAATCTAGTCTTGGGTGTGACGACAAACTACATCCGGCAGCAAAGCCGCTGATCGGTAGATTGGAGATTTTGATCTATCTCTTTGCTGTTGTTCCCAGGTTCACCCTGATCTGGGGTAGTAGCACCTGTTAGAGTCCCGGCTATGGGAAAATAGTGATTCCCCACGAAAACCCCAAAATACTATGAAAGCATAAAAATAGATTTTTATAGTAAAAATACCAGCACATTTTTACATTAAAAAATTGACACCAATAGATTTTATAGTCCATTTTGTATATAGTTCAAGGCACACAATCGCGTTCAAAATATATTTAGTTGAAACCATAAAATTTTGCTCAAAATATTAAGTAACCCATAGAGGTGTTGATATGCCGTTAAATAAAAATAGCCTATCAACCAACTAACATGAAAGAACTCTTTCATGGAATTAATCCATATAATATCGTACATTTTCTTAAATCAATCTAGTTTCAACAAAACTAGCACATAACTGTTGTAGCCTACCTATGGACGATAATGGGTATATCCCCATTCACATAATACAGTAGTAAATACTGTATGTTGGTCTGCGGTTGGAGATTCGTCTCCAGCTCTACTGGTTAAACTCTATGCTTTCGGGCAGAGGGGATCCCCAAACGAGGCTATGTCGAAGGGCAGAGTCCCATCTCGGGAAACAGCTACCCGACCTCGTTTCATACAGGTCAACGGGGAATTTTTGGCCGAGCCTATGAGCTCGGATACCCAACATTAAATTCGGCCTTGTGCCACGTATGTCTGCGTGGGGCGGTTGGTAGATATCCTGCAGTTGGAGATTCGTCTCCAGCTGTGCTGGTCAAACTCGTTGTCTCCGAGCAGAGAGGATCCCCAGACGAGGCTGTGTCAGAGAGCAGAGTCTTGTCTTGGGAAACAGCTACCCGACCCCGTTATATCCAGGGTCTATGGGGAATTTTAAGGCTGAGCCTATGGGCTCGGATACCCCACATTAAATTCGGCCTTGTGCCACATCTGACCACGTGGGGCGGTTGGTAGATATTCTGCAGTTGGAAATTCATTGTGGAATTCACTTGACTCACTTCTAACAGTTGACTACTTCTTCTACGCGCCGCTGGCGAATCTTATATGTGTTGTTCTTGTCCTAAGTTTTATCGTGCATTACCAACTATCATTTGGTTATTCTATCCAGTAACCTTCCTTAGGTAACAACACAATATCATTCTGTTCCGATCTATCTATCTATCTATCTATCTATCTATCTATCTATCTATTGTAGCATACCGAAGGAAGATAATGGGCATGTCCCCATTCGCATAAATACAGTATTAAATACTGTATGTTGGTCCGCAGTTCGAGATTCATTGTGGAATTCACTTGACTCACTTCTAGCTGTTGGCTACTTCTTCTACGCGCTGCTGGCGAATCTTATATGCGTTGTTCTTGTCCTAAGTATTATCGTTCATTACCAACCTTCGTTTGATTATTCTATTCAGTAACCTTCCCTAGGTTACAACAATAACACACATATATATATTACCTTTAGTAATTATGTCCACACAAACATGTCTGTGCACAAAAGCTGAGTATCATCTACCATGTATTCCATTGTGAAAGCAGATCTTATTTTTATTATTTCAAAGCTTCAAATTTCGGTATTAAATGACCCATAAGGAGTTGATATGCCGTTAAAAAAAAACAAATCAATTTAATTCTGACCATAAATAAGAGGTATTTATTGAGATTGTTTCAGTTTTATTCATCATATTTTTTGCTACCTTCACTGACAGCAGATTGCTCGCTGGCGTGAGATCGATCTCTCCAAGCGTCTCGGCTTTGAGTGGTTGTATAAAGTTTCCTCTATTTGCATGTAAGACACCGGTCAAGTCTGCTACAAGGAATATTTAATTTCTGCTGTTACATCGGTCTGAGGCTATAGAATTTATCCCCTAATCACCGCTGTCACATCAGCCCAAGGCTGCAGGAGTGATCCCCTTACCACCGCAGTCACATCAGCTCGAGGCTGCAGGGGTAATCCCCTAATCATCACTGTAACATCAGTTTGAAGCTGCATATGTGAATCCCTAATCACCGCTGTCACATCAATCTAAGGCTGCAGGAGTGACCCCTAATCTCCGCAGTTACATCAGCTCGAGGTTGCAGGAGTAATCCCTAATCAACACTGTATCATCAGCCTGAAGCTGCATACATGGACCCCTAATCACCGCTGACACATCAGTCCAAGGCTACAAGAGTGACCCCCTAATCTCCGTACTCACATCAGCTCGAGGTTGCAAGGGTAATCTCCAAATCAACACTGTATCATGAATCTGAAGCTGCATACCTCAACCCCTAATCACTGCCGTCACATCAGTCCAAGACTGCAGCAGTGATCCCTTAAGTTCTGCTGTCACAAGTCCGAGGATGCAGGAGTAGTGAACCCCTAATCACTCTTGTTACATCAGCCCAAGACTGCAGGAGGTAATGTCCGCTATCAGAACGGTCTAAGACTGCAGGAGGGAACCCATAATCATTGAGGTTATTTCAGTTCGAGGCTGCAGGTTTTATCTCCTAACCTCCGCTATCACAACTATCTGATAACGAAGGATGAACCTCTAATCTCTGCTGTTACAACTATGCAAAACTGCAGGAGTGATTCCCTAATCACCGCTGTCACATCAGCTGGAGTTCACACCCGCGAACTCCTAATCTCCGCTGTCACAACTGTCCGAGACTACAGGTGGGAACCCCTAATCTCCGTTGTCATAACTGTCCGTGGCTGCAGGAGTCATCCCCTAATCGCCGCTGTCACCTCAGTCCGAGGCAGCTGGACCGCTTCACTAATCCCTGTTGTTTGATATTATCATGTTATTTTCTCAGCCAAATTTCCCGTGATACCTTAGGACACTTTGGAAGTGGGTGTCGTAAACCGACTCCAGTGTTGCAAATACTAATATCCAAGTATGCTTTCCTCCTCCATAAGGTGAGTTTACTCGTGCCTGATGCCAACTTGCAATATATACCGTCACAATATGGTTTTTATATCGGGGAGTTTGCTTCTTCTCGAAGGGAGTGTCTTCATTAAAGGTAAGGAACTCCATTTACGTTTATTTTCGTCGCAAGGCAGCAAACGTTTTATTTTAGAGTTTTCCTTATTTTTGACACACTTCCCATCTAGGCAAACGAGTTCCATCTACCAAGTTTTGGTACAAAGCCACAAATACGGGGTGCCCATTGAGAATCGAACATATTATTCAGTACTAAGGATTTGTGCGACTAGTTCTTTAACAGGGTACCTTTTGATGTTAACTTCTTCCTAATTTTTTTTTTCTGTCTTCGTAATTTAATTTATTTACTTACAGACAGTTTAATTTATTCAATACAAACAACCCCTTTTCAGGTCATGCAAAGTCGCGCAAAATAGAAGCCGGAATCTAACTTATTATAAAACGCAGATTGTGTGTCTGTAACGTTTATATATTGGATCGGATTTCCTACATTTTTCAACTGATTTCAACAAAACTTCACAGGACTGCATGAAATTATCTTGCGGTGGTTCTAACAGCGCCAAAATTGGAAAAACACAATTATTTTTGCACAAAATCAATTTGAAAACACGATTAAGAGGCATTAATGAAAGGGGGACAACTCACATCGGGTTCAAACCCAGGTTGTTTGTGAGTGTGCGTCTGTGTTCGTTTATATATGGGATCAGATTTCCTACATCTTTCAGCCGATTTCAACAAAACTTCACTTATTTTTAGCAGGTAGTGTTTCTTATTGTCTTGCACCCTTTTTTCTTTATTTTTACACTCAGAATGCTTTAAAAATTTCATTTAGAAGACAATTGTTTATAATAAAATTCTATTCAATCGGTAGACTCATAACGATTGAAAACAATGTTTTTGTTTGAGTTTGGGTTTGACCAATTCGTAAAAAAACAAAACAAAAACAAAACACACACACACACACACACACACACACACACACACACACACAAAAAGAACTAATTAAGACATGCGTGTCCGTCAACCTTAAACAATAATCTAACGATCTCTACTGATTGTACGAATCCAAACATCGGATAATTCTTTATCTTTAGAGAAAGATAATTCCACGTACTTTAGGGCCGTTTTTATAATTCCCTTTGCAATTTGGTACAAGGCATCTATAAAGAATTGGTTCTATTTGAAATTAATTCAATATTTAAAAGAAAGTATTAAGAAATAATTTAAAAATGCCGACATAAGAAATCTGATAGACAAAAAACAACAATATTTCATGCAAGTGAATCTTTTACGAGGTTGGGGGTGGGCTGTGTGTCTTGCTTAGGAGTTTACGAGAATTTTCGTCGTTTCCTCCGGGGAACCTCGACTCATTGACTTTTTAAACTTCAATAATTGTCCACACGTGGGTGCCTTTTCGGGCGCCAAGCTCCTCCTCCTCCTCCCCTTACGGACAGCCTCCATACACGCACTAACGCAACAGGATACGCAATATTCGCTAAGAGAGAGAGGGCATTGTCACTCTCTCTTCTTTCACCTAAGGTTTATGTTAAGGGGGCACGGTCACAATTACCGATCTTTCCCCTACTTTAATGACAGCGATATCTACCGTGATTTCCTCTTTCGCTGGCCGATTTTTTTAATAGAGAGTGGAACGTCACTCAAGGTCACCCATCTCTACTGCGTGACTCGGGCGTGCTTTCACACTTTTGCGTTTATTGTTGCCCACGTGCACGTACTTGGCTTACTTTATTCGCCAACTTCGGAAAAACACAATTGTTTTTGCACGAAATCAATTTGAAAACACGATTAAAAGACATTAATGAAAGGGGGACAACTCACATCGGGTTATACTTATTATAAAACCCAGGTTGTTTGTGTGTGTGTGTGTGTGTGTGTGTGTGTCTGTTCGTTTATATATGGGATCGGATTTCCTACATTTTTCAGCCGATTTCAACAAAACTTCATTTTTTTTTTGGCAGGTAGTGTTTCTTATTGTCTTGCACACTTTTTTCTTTATTTTTACATTCAGAATGCTTTAAAAATTCATTTACAAGACAACAATTGTTTATAATAAAATTCTATTCAATCGGTAGAGATTCATAACGATTGAAAACAATGTTTTTGTTTGAGTTTGACCAATTTGTAAAAAAAACAAAAACAAAAAACAAAACAAAACAAAAAACTAATTAAGACGCATGTCCGTCAACCTTAAACAATAATCTTTGTCAATTTTATTTTTCAGTCTTTATGATGGTCGATACTTGATCTATCTCTTACTGTTACTTCCTCGGGCAACGCCGGGCTCTACTGCTAGTAATACATATTGGTTGAGGAGGCGGTTGTTATTGATTGTTTAGCGGCATATGAACATCTCTATGGGTCATTTAATGCCGAAATCTAGATATTTTGAATATAAATTAATGGCATAATTAAAAGAAAAATCTTGTAATTCCAACGAATGATTTATTTTTTATGGAAATATTTCGGTTAAATATTTCCATAAAAAAATCATTCGTTGTAATTGCAAGTTTTTTTCTTTTAATTATGCAACTACCAACGGAGACAAGCATCCTAACTTTGATAAATTTATGACGTCAACTACAGATTAAATGTATTGTTGGTCACTTTGCTATAAAATTTATTGTTAGTAATTCCGCTTTAAAAATGTATTGCTGGAAATTTTACTACAGTGTAACCCGGATATAAGAGAGTTGGCGGGACCGGAGAAGAAGTCTCTTATATCCGGGTTTGGTCTATTTTATATACATTAACACAGGCTCTAATTTGGGACCAGAGAAAATCTCTCTTATATCCGGGTTTCTCTTATATCCGGGTCTCTTATATCCGGGTTACACTGTATAAATATGTATCGTTGGTAACTTTTTTTATATGGAAATGTATTGCTTGTATTTTTACTACAAAAATGCATTTTATTTACATTATTCGGACTATCGTCCTCATCTTTGTCGCCATATTTATTACAACGTTTCGGCCGTTGTACGCTCCGGCCTTCTTCAGGTGGTCGGAATGTCGAACTGAACCCTTTATTTCACTCACTGGTGTAGACTGTTCTAGTTACACGTGCCACGTTTAATGGATGTGAGTTATCAGTTATCTCCTGTTAATTCCCCTCTGAAAGTTCTCCACTGCCTTAACCGGGTATTGAACTCACACTCTTTGGGTCCTGTCACTGGATCTAACTAGCAAGTGTACAACGGCCGAAACGTAATAAATATGGCGACAAAGATGATAACAATAATCCGAATAATGTAAATAGTGTACGATAGAGTCTTTCCGCAATTATTGTTAGTACATTAGCAGTTGATGTGGAGAAATGAAAGTCGTATTGCTTGTCTGAGAAAAGGCCCCGTAATGAGAGATGATGAACCAATTCAGCATTGATTTTGGCCTGTAGGAGTTTCGCAAAAAGAGGCTAATAGTTGGATGGATCGGACGGTTCACCAGAGATCTTAAAACCTGGGACAACAGACGATGACTTCCAGCAAACAGAAAAGCAGGAGGTAGCGAGGCATTTATTATAAAGTTACGCTGGAACCAAGAATTCACTAGTATCAATAGAAGAATTCAAGTTCTGGCAACTTTTCCATGAGAAAAAATTCTACTCTGCAGAAGTTGGAATGGATACCCCGAATATTGAAGGGGATATGTGTTTTTTGTTAGCTGTTTGTTTGTTTGTTTATATTTATATATATATATATATATATATATATATATATATATATATATATATATTTTTTTTTTTTTATGTGTGTGTGTGTATGTATGTATGTAACATAAATATGTTGATAATCTGCCTGAGACCTCTCCGAATTGTAAAAACATATGATGATGATAGGTGTCTGTTTGTAATAAAGAACTGAATATGTAAAGATTTTCCAAGTGAAGCTTAGATGTGGCACAAAGCCGAAAGTATGGGGTATCCAGTGAGGATCAAACTCACTTTTTTTTAGTAGTAACTGATCTAGCAAGACAAGCTTGCTAACCTTTACACCACGTCGAGACGCCCATCCACCTATCTATCTATCTATCTATTGTAAGAAGGTAGAAAATATGGGTGTTTGCAAGAATAAAAGCGCAAGATTCGAGTTACGAGTTGGAGATGACGACATCAAACTTTTTTTTTAAGCGTTTCACCCCAAGCAAGGCGAGAAGCCACTAGGACGCAAGGGGTTACAGAAGATTTTCAGCAAGATCAGATAGGAGTGATAGAAGAAAGGATGAGGAGAAGGGTAGTGGATAGATCAAGGCAACTGGAGATGTCGATTGACATTACACTTGAATAGCTGGAGATTATAGCTCTCAGGGAAACTGGAATATGGAAGGGAGTTCCACAGGCTAGAGGTACGAGACATGAAGCTATTGGAGTAGAAGAGACGGCTATATTTAATAGTTTCAACAGTGAAAGTATGAGAGCGGGATGCCAGCCTTGTAGGGCGCTTGAACTCATGAAGTCTGGGAACCAGCGAATGCAGCTCCTCGGAGCAATTACCATGAACGTTTTTGTAAAAAAGACAGAGAGAGGCGACGGTGCGTCTGTGAGAGAGTGACTGTAGACGAGATGCCAGAACAGTGCCAATTATATTGCATATCCGCCTCTGGAACTTATCAAGAACCCCGAGGCAAACAGAAGGGGCCTACAGACCATATATGGCAGCAATACTCCATGCAAGGGCGAATTGTTGATTCGTAGATCTGGGGATCTACTCCGGCGAGAAAAATTTCCTGGCGCGGCATAGGGAGCCAACTTTCCTTGCGGTGGACGAAGCAATTGACTCAGTGTATTTGTTCCATCTCAGCTCAGCAGTCAACGTGAGACCGAGCAGCCGCAGAGAGGTGCTCTCGAGAAGTTGAGCGTCAGACATTCTAATGGAGTGCAGGGAAGGATCTCTGTGGTGATTAATAGAGAGCAGTTTTGTTTTTGAGGCATTAAAGTTGACCAGCCAATTCCTGCCCCAGTTCACAACCGATTGGAGGTCCTTTTCGAGTACAGGAGATTAAATATCTGAGAAGTGTTTTAGAGGATGGAAAATAAGACACCAAAATCCAAAAGAATCGCGAAAGATGCCTTCCAAAAGCTAAGCAAAGTACAAAGAAACAGGAAAATTTCATTCGACATAAAGAAAAGAATGATGAACTGCGATGTAATATCAATCCTCTTGCACGGCTGTGATGCTAAACAATCTTCTTCTAACCGAAGAGGAATTTGGAGCCAACGGAAATGTGGTTCTACAGAAGGATACTGAGAATTCCATAGACAGAGCGCGAAAACAATGAGTAACTTTTAAAGAAAATGGAAAGAAAAACGAAATTTATACTTAGAATAAGAAAGAGACAACTGAAATATCCTGGAGACGTTTTTAGGAAAGAGGGCTAGGAGAAACTGATACGCACAGGGTACATCGAGGGCAACAGAGAATAGGGAAGGCAGTGTGAATGGATGGCAGAACAAGAACAGTGGTCGGTTTGGCAAAGGGATAAACGTTGCTAAGAGCTACAAAGCATGGGAAGTCGTGGAGAGTCATGAATAAGAAAATAAAAATAGAAAAGGTGCATTAACAATGACAGGGAAGGGACAAAAATAAGTGTCATTTAGTGATATAGCTTTTAATGGTCAAAGAGGTTGAGACATTTTTTTATTTTAAATGGTAATTTTCTTGAAGACCATTTCGAGGAATATTTTTTTGTTAGCAGTTCACGCAATAGAATGCCTGAGATCCACTTCAGGTCGCCGTTGTCGGGATCCTTTTTCCTTGTTCTCTTTCTTCCCCCTTTTGTGACGGTGACGGAGATGGCTTTGAAGTCCCAGGCTATTCCTGAAAAGTCGTGAGCAGGAGTCACAAAGGAGTATGGATGGTGAACGCGGCTTGGCGAGTCGGTCCCTCCGGGCAGCACGTCGCAGATCCTCTTCACGTTGACGGTTGGACTCGGTCCCTCCTGACAGCACGTCGCAGATCCTCTTCATGTTGACGGTTGGACTCGGTCCCTCCTGACAGCACGTCGCAGATCCTCTTCAATTTGACGGCTGGAATCGGTCCCTCCTGACAGCACGTCGCAGATCCTTTTCATGTTGACGGTTGGACTCGGTCCTCCTAACAGCACGTCGCAGATCCTCTTCACGTTGACGGTTGGACTCGGTCCCTCCTGACAGCACGTCGCAGATCCTCTTCATGTTGACGGTTGGACTCGGTCCCTCCTGACAGCACGTCGCAGATCCTCTTCATGTTGACGGTTGGACTCGGTCCCTCCTGACAGCACGTCGCAAATCCTCTTCATGTTGACGGTTGGACTCGGTCCTCCTGACAGCACGTCGCAGATCCTGTTCAATTTGACGGCTGGAATCGGTCCCTCCTGACAGCACGTCGCAGATACTTTTCATGTTGACGGTTGGAATCGGTCCCTCCTGGCAGCACGTCGCAAATCCTCTTCATTTTGTCAGTTGGAATCGGTTCCTCCTGACAGCACGACGCAAATCCTCTTCATATTGACGGTTGGACTCGGTCCCTCCTGACAGCACGTCGACGATCCTCTTCATGTTGACGGTTGGACTCGGTCCCTCCTGACAGCATGTCGCAGATCCTCTTCATTTTGACGGTTGGACTCGGTCCCTCCTGACAGCACGTCGCAGATCCTTTTCATGTTGACGGTTGGAATCGGTCCCTCCGACGATCCTCTTCATGGCACTCGCCCTCCTGACGTCGCAGATCCTCTTCATTTTGATGCTTGGACTCGGTCCCTCCTGAGAGCACGTCTCAGATCCACTTCATGTTGACGGCTGGACTCGGTCCCTCCTCGGATGGTACTACGCCAGGAAGGCCGGTTTGCAGCAACAGTTCCCCCGGTCTCAGGGTCAATGTTGGCCTATGTCAGGTATGTTTTCAACTGATTCTTGAAGTATCGTTTTGTAGCCTCTGCTTAACCTCTTGCCGCTGGCGAGTTCTTCAAACAGGATGATACGTGGGAGTCGAGTGGGACGCATTCTGGACACGTGACTCGCCCAACGGAGACGATGATGATGGATGGTAGCCTCGATGCTGGGAAGGGGAGATGTCCGAGAGAGGACCTCGTTGTTGGTAATGCGGTTCTCCCAACTGATGCGAAGGATACTTTAGGAGCTTTGTTTGTTGGAACCGTTCTAAATGTTCCGACGATACAAAATCCAGGCCTCGCAAGCGTACAGAAGGGTGGAGAGGACAACGAACCGGAAGACAATTAATTTGGTTTTTATTGTGAGGCCGTGATTACTGAAGACTCGATGTGAGAGAAAGAAGTCGGCGAGATTGAAGAGTCCGTTGTCGAATCTGTATCTACTCAAGGTAGAGGGTTAATGAATGAGGTTGTTGTATGGACGCAAGAGGAGGAGGCACGCGCTGATTATAAGGATATGTAGGATAGATAAGGGTTGTTCCTAGATTTTAGATGTTAAGATTGTAATGATTGGAGAAGCATCATTTTGCCGGTTTCTTCCACAAAACAGCGATTCTCAGTAAGAAGCTATCCGAATAGAACTTCTTCTTTACCAATGGAATGCAAAGAGAATGAGGATGATACGAGCATAGCATAGAGAGTCGTCGCTGTAATTTGATTTGATTTGTTTTTTACGGTTTATCAACCCTTTGTGGGTTATTTTAAATAAATATTTGTGGATTGTAAGAATAATTTTCTTTTGTGTTTTTGGATATAACAATGATTTTTCCAGATACAAGTCCTACTGTGTAACCCATAGCTGGGGAGTGGGGGAGAAAAGATGGATTCATGCCTTTGCCAAGGGTATTTGCACGTAATTGAATGTAACGAAGACGACTGGAATTCGAAATCGGCTCTCCGATTACTCATTCGAAGCCGCTGTTTATTACACCATCCGCACATCCTCTTATCTGTAAAGGTCGGAACTTGTGGAATTAAGGAATGTAGCTCGTGTGAACATCTGTCATGGAAACAGCGATAGAGTAGCGACGGGCGTTCGACATTTCGCCTGTGGGAAAAGAAACAGACAATAGGAAAAGTTATTTTTCGTTGTTAGCACTTGTAAAATCTGAGATAACGATGGAGTTAAAAACATCTTAGAGCTTGGCTTGTTTTCTTTGTTTTTAATATATTTTTTTATGTCAAGAGCGCCAAGAAATTAACTCCAAACAGAGTGGAATGCACGAGGAATTACGACAGAGAGAGAGAGAGAGAGAGAGAGAGAGAGAGAGAGAGAGAGAGACAGAGAGATTTGAAAAGAAGGGAGATGAAGAAGGAGAGAGAAAGAGGAAGAGTGGAGAAAATTATTTTTTTATTTTCTCGGTCATTCCAAAGAAAAATTTCAAGAGTTATCACCGAAGAAGAAAAAAAAAAGGAAAAAATGAATATTCACACACACATATATATATATATATTACACATTTTTATTTAGTAAACAGTGTGTAGATTCGATCCCTGGACACAGTTTATTTATATAGATTTCTCGAATGCGCAGAGCGATAAAACTAATACCCCCAACACACACACCCATAAATATATATATATATATATATATATATATATATATATATATATATATATATATATATATATATATATATATAGACCTGAAAGATTGCCTTGAAGCATTGCCTTTGAAGATTTTCAGATTTTCGTGTTGACATCAGTGTCCACTTTTTTATATATTTACACACGCTCAATCTTTGATATATCTTAAGACTATATATCTTCTCTCTCTCTCTCTTCCTCTCTTTTTCTCTCTCTTTCTCTCTCTCTCTCTCTATATATATATATATATATATATATATATATATATATATATAAGAGGGAATATAGGATATGATGAAGGTCCGCTTAGGTGAAACCTTGGTAGTTTTGTCTGGCTCTCTAGGTTTAACGAGCTCTACTCATTGTAGTGAGCACTTTATTTAGTTCTTTTGGGTACTCGCATCGGGTTTTTTTTTCTGGACGATTATTTTCGGTTAACGTACATGTTCTTGGTTCTTTCTTTTTTATACCCTTTTTTCCCTTTGGTATTGGCTTGATTATTTGCAAATCAAGACACAGAAGGTTTTCCGGACGAGTATCTATCTATCTCTCCCTCTCTCTCTCTCTCTCTCTCTCTATATATATATATATATATATATATATATATATATATATATATATATTTATAGTTTATGCAAACTTAGGTAATCCGTATGGGTA